CCTCTCCTGCCCGGTCCGGAGGCCTAGGCGACGGCGGGGGACTCGGACGCCGGAAAGTGAGGAGGTTCCACCACCCAGGAGACGTTGAGGGCAGCACAGGAGAAGGAAGCCGGAGTGGCAGCGGTAGAATGACAGGAGTGTCGGTCACGTGACCAGGGGCATGTGACCACCCGGAAGGCGGAAGCCGGAAGCCGGAAGCCCGGAGCGTCAGACAGAGCCGGGCGCGGGGCGGCGCGCTCGGGAGCGAGGAGCTGCAGCCCGGGGGCGCGGCGATTCGGGCCCCCCCGCCCCCAGCGCGGACTGGCCGGTCCCGAGGGAGGGTAAAGCGGGGCGGCCACGTGGGGGTCCCCCCGAAACCCAGCGGGCCACTCCAGTGCCAAGGTACCCACTGGAGGCAGAGATCTTTTGAAAAGTTTAATTCAGTACTTTTAAATAGATGGACTTTCATTTGGATTTAACAGATCAGGGGAGCAGGCGTTCTTGTTGCGATTTTATATATAAAACGGATGCTCAGACGTGGGTCATAAAAGTTATCTTGCCCTAGGGTTGCAGATTTAGGAAACAATGTCCGTTCCATGCAATAGTTGCAATTATACTAAAAAAATATGAGTTGTGTTGCCCCGGCCGGTACGGCTCAGTTGGTCGGGCGTCCTCCTGGGCACGGAAGGTTGTGGGTTTGACACCTGGTCAAGGGCACACCTGGTTGGGGTCCCCGGTGCGGGGCGTGCGGAGGCAGCCGGTGGATGTTGCGCTCTCACCCATGTTTCTTTCTCCCTTCCTCTCTCTCTAAAAATCATTAAACTATTCTGTAAATAATAATAATGATTCGTGTTTATCTAAAATTCAAAGTTTACAGGGCGCCCATTATTTTAACCTGACAATCCTACCTTGAGCCCAAGTTTTCCCCATTCCAAGCCTCGGCTGCGGTCTTTCCGATACTGAGTGACACCACTGGAATCTCCGCACCTAGTGGCCGGGTGTACCGAGCAGCGTATTTTTGTTGATAAGCACTGACAGGGATTTCTAAGTTAACCAATGCATCTCTACTACGAATGTTCAATCTAGCTACTATGAATGTTCAATTTAGGCGAAGATTTAAAAACAATCAAAACCAATATTATACATTGATTATCAATACCTAAAATAATAGTATATAATATTGTATAATGTCTCTAATGCTGCTGTGACAAATTGTTGCAATTTTCCTGGCGTAAACCAACACAGACTATCTGAGGTGGGTCTCACTGGACTATCTGGCAGGGCTGAGTTCCTTTTGGAGGCTCTGGGGGAGAATCTGCACCCTTGCCTTCTCCAGTGTTCAGAGGCTGCCCTGGCTTAGGACCCACTTCCTCCATCTTCGAAGTCAGCAAGGTGGTACCGTATCTTTCTCTGAGGACAGCTGGGAAGGGTTCTCTGATTTTGTGGGCTCTGATATGATTAGATTAAGGCCCCCTGGATAATCGTAGCAACTCTCCCCATCTCGAGAGTGATGAAAACAGACATCCCTGTGTTCCCTTTTTTAAGTTAAACACTTTTAGTTTTTGTCCATTGAGGACAAATATGAAATATGATGTCACAAGCCAAATCTTGCCTTAATCATTAGATGATTAGTTACCTCATAAGAAATCCACTTTAATTCTACATGACATAAAGAGGGATAATCCTTGCCTTAAGTTTGGGTATGGGTTTAGCATACATTTCTAGCCACAAAGCTGACTGGTACTAAAATGATGTTTTAAGGAACCTAAATAGATTAGGCGGACCATCTGCCTCTCAGTCGCATAGCCCAAGATTCCCTACCACACACCGCTAGTACAGAATTCTGCCAAGCAATCTATTTCCTTTATCATTGTATACTAAGCAATATATCACTTGAATCATTTCTTTCAGTTTTGATTTAGGATTAAATTTTAATTAGGAATACATTTCTACCTGTAGAGGGCAGTCGTAACATACCTAGACATTCAAAATAGGAGGCCCTACCTGAAATAGAGCACTAAAGATCTGTGGATGAACTGCTGATCCACAAAACAGATAATCCTTTCGCTTGGATTAGTGTCACTTTCCAAGGCGGTCCCCAGGGGACTGAGACACAGCTCGTCATTAGCCAAATGAAGAGAAATAGAATGGATTTTGGGTTGGTGGTGTTAAAATCAGGTTACAGGACTCATTTGGATCCTTTATTATAAAACATGCCCAAGCTTTCCCAAGACAACTAACAATGCCTCCAGAAACATTTCTCCAGGCCATCCATATGGAAGCAATTTCTGCCCCTGCCTAGGGCTGAGGCATATAATGCAAATATTCACCAAACCACCAAAAAGGAAGGGGGCACCAAGGCTATGCATGATATCAAGGTAAGACAATCTCCTCAATCCACGATCCTTTCTTGACAAGGAAAGGGTTTATAGACAAAGAATATCAAACCTAAGCAAGCTTCAGAGCCATTGCTCGCTTTATCTTATTGATGTTATGTTAAAATTGTTTTCAAATCAACCCCAAGAGAAACACCAAGAACCTTGATGATAATTACCTCATCGGTGCAATTTTCCCCAACCTAAACAACTTCCCTTTACCAAGACAAATGACTCTTTATTTATGTTTTGTTTGTTTGTTTGTTTCAGGAGATATTTTAAAAAGCAGAAAACTTTGACAAATTTTATGGCTATTGCTATTAACCCTTGAATGTTTGTCTCTGATATAAAGATTATATCCCATATAGTAATAAAAGAAAAATTATAGACT